CCCTTTTTATGCTTTTGTTCATTCTATATATTTGTGAGTTCCAATCCACCTATGAATTAATGTACCATTTCATTGGTGCTTAGGATAAGATGAGCACCGGTGCTCATTAGATCATTTCTGTATATATATATATATATAGAAAATACATAAATTTGGTACGATTATTGTCCCTGAAAAAAATATTCCTCTAAAACAACTCGACCTCATCTTTGGAAACGGTCGATTGTCCAAAAGATGTCATTGTACTCTGCAATTGGAAATTACTTGGTGCAAGGAGGTCATAAATAATTCGAATTCATAGGATTGCAAATAATTCGAATTATTGTCCAAGGAGGTCACAATTATTTCAGCTGAAGTCATCTCTGGATACGGCCGTTAGTCTAGAATGACACCATCATTTTCTGTAATTGGAAAATATTGGTGAAAGGAGGTCACAAAATAATTCGAATTCAGGACGCCATTGTTCTCTGTACAATTGTATGTGTTTCTCTTACAATTATGGTTTTATGTTGCATTGATGTCGAATTGCAAATGACATGCAATGTATACATGCTCTTCATAACTGTAAAATGATGACAATCACACATTGCAGATACATTGTTTGTCTATGATGTGTGTGGATTTGCGACCGGAATTGTTCGTGTGACATTAAATTTACGGTAATGATACCCGCCATTTTTATGAAGTACAACTCAGAGAATCTGTGTAACTGAAATTTATCCATGCCACCATGATATGAATGTGTGATCTTAGTGTGTCTATGTGACCATGATTTCATTTCTGACAGAAAATTATCATTGTGACCATCATTCTGGAAAGCAGTGAAAATGTATGTAAAAATTATTGTGTTAATGTGAAACATTGTGACATTCATCTGATTGAATTGTGACCTTATTTTTATTTGTCATTGACATTTCTTGTGCATTAAAACATAAATGGGTTACGTGCATGTCTGTTTGATGTATGGAGAACAATTTTTGTTGGTGTTGATCGATCGTAATTGATGTTATGTGAACCTTCTGGACACGGTAGTGACAAAATTCGGTTTGGACAATGAACTACCAATTGAAAAATGATCTGCCTCCAATCAAAATAAGAAGTGACAGCAATGTTTTGTCGTACATGACTCTCAAATGCATGGATCGTGATCCTTTCAGATATCCCATAAATATTGAGGTCACAGATTTAGAAGTTGGACATCAGTGTCTCAGTTTTCCATCGGTCCAGGCAGTTTTGGATAATGTACAATCTGGAGGAAAGCTATTTTCATTACAGGAAATAGCAACAGACATGTGTGAAGCAACAGTGGGACCATTAGGTCACAGTAATGAACATGAGGTCACGATTGTATTCACTCCTGATGCAAGAAATGTAGAAGAAGGCAAGATGTTTCGTAATAAGGAGATTTTGAAACTAAGCTTGTCTTTTTATGCCATACAAAACATGTTTGAATTTCTGGTTGTTTGATCAAACAAGGGGAATTATCTTATCAAGTGTTATCATGATTAGTGCAATTGGATATGCAGATCTTCAAGGATGGGGAAAACATAGCTCTTTAAGATTAGAAAAATTAATGATGGTCATACATGTTCATCAAACATAGTATTAGGATCTCACGGCAGGTCACAACGTCCGTACTGTCCTTATTCATCAAGTA